GTGTGTGTGTGTGAGAGAGAGAGAGAGAGAGAGAGAGAGAGAGAGAGAGAATGAAAGAAAAGAGAATAATAGAATGTGTCAGAATCTCTACTTCATCTTATAATTGTCGTTTATGTGATCTATGACTATCACCTTATAACTACTTATTCTTATATTACTTTTAAAGCAGTACCATTAATCTCAAACTTCTTGATGATTGTGTTGTCGTGCAGGGTCGGGGTGGTCCTGGAATGGTCACAAATGTTGGTAAGTTCCATTTTCTTTTCCTTAGTTTCGCATTGATATTAAAATAGGTGGAATCAAATGTAGTCCTAAGTTCTTAAATTTAATTTTCTGCTAATTTTCAACTTATAATTGCCACCAATGAAATACAGATCCACAAAAACAATTTGGGGGCCCAGCAGTCCTCGTTGATCTTAGTTTTCATCAGCCATTAGGTGACTCAGTAGCAGCTGCTGCTGCAACTGTCATGGCAGGAGCTCTTGGAGCTGCTCAGACTACTAGCACATCAAACCAGATTGATTTGCAAAGTCAGCCAGTGTTGGGCACTGATCCTTTAACTCTTCATTTGGCGAAAATGTCAAGGAGTCAGTTGACTGAAATTATATCCGAGATGAGGGTTGGTTTCTGAATAAGTTTCAGATTGCATTGGTGGATGATTTATTTGGAGTGTGTCAATATGCATTGTAAGGTAAATTAATAAACTTTATTGCTGATGCAGTAGAATTTACAAAAAATAAAAAATAAAAAAAATTGAAAGGCATCTGGAGAGTTAAAAAAAAATTCCCTAATTTCTCTCAAGACAAACTAACGCTGTCTTGCATAAATAAGTTCTGACATGTATAGGAAGCTGAAAACTATAACTCAGACTGCTGCAACTTAAAATGCTAATGGAAAATAACACAACTTGAGTGCGGTGGTGCAAGCAAGAGGAATAGGCAGTGCAACAGTAACTCTACCATATTGCTAAGTGCTTTCTACGGAGATTAATTCCTCGTTGATGGATATTTAGAAATATAAATGGGTTTTATTATCATGATGATGGCAGGAAATGGCTACACAAAATAAGGAGCAAGCACGACAGCTGTTACTTGCCAGCCCAAACTTGTCTAAAGCCCTTCTCCAGGTTCTTATCAATCCCTTTGTATTTGGTAACTTTTCAATCTTTTGTGAGGTTCCAGGCTGCTATTATTAAGTTTGTATTAGTGTACTGTTGTATTATAATTAGTCTTATACCATCTGGAGCTGATGTCAACATTCATATTTACACATTTGTGCTTGACTTTGAATGCAGGCCCAGATAATGCTAGGGAATGGTGCCCCCACAAATGGTTTGTTCTTTTTTTTCTTCATTGCAAATATTCATTTTTCCGGGTTATGACATTGCTAACTAGTAGATTTGAATGATCTTTGAACTGTGCAGTTGCGGATGCCAAATATTCTGCAATTTTCTCCACAGCGAGCACTGTTTTCACTACAGAGTGGTCAACATGCTATTACTCAAGCTCTCCCTGGACTTCCCCCACTTCCACAGAACAAGATGCATCTGAATTTGTCCCGTGCACAGGAAAATCAAGTCTCTTCTGCCCATCTAAACCAGTATTCAGTACTCTCACAATTTCCTACACAATCTCAGTTTCAACGTCCACAGCTAGCCCAAAACCAAGTTCTACTACAAGGCCAACTGATGCAGAATGAATGATTCAATAGTTATAATAAGAAGAGATGGGGAGGGGAAGAGAGGAAGAAGGACAGAGGCGGGGAAGAGGAGAGAAAACGGCCACAAGCCAACTTTATAATTCTCAATCAATTCATCATCCCAAAATTACAAACCAAGATAGGTTTAAATAATAAAAACCTAGAAATATAGGGCCAAGCCCATTATTTAAGTCCTAACTAAAATACGTAAACTTAAATAAAAGTCCAACTGAAACAATAATAAAAGTCCAACTAAAATACTGAAACAATAATAAAAGTCAAACTATAATGATGTCCTCATCAACTCTCCCGGGGTGAGAGAAAACTCGACCCTGTCGAGTGGATATATCACCGTAGACTCTCGTCAATCTCCCAACCATAAGCTGAGTGGTTGGGCAAGTTTCTTCCGGCGTCTGTAGAAATGCGTCAGTGGCGGTCTGAATCTGGTGTCCTCATCAACTCCCCTCGGGTGGACGGGAGGCGATCTGGGCCAAGGAAGATCCTGCTGACTCCGATAAAGCTCTAGCAAATTTGGATCCAAATGCTGTAGTGTCTCCCTGGAGATCCATGCACAATCAGAATCTGGTCGATCAACCCAACGAACAAGGAAGCGCTGAACCTCTCCATCATTAGTGAACACAGTTTCTTCATCTAAATAGCATCAATTTTATCTGTGTGTGCTGTGAGAGGTGGTAGTGGGTTGGAGGGGGCCAAAGAATTAGGATCAAGGTCCACAAAAGGAGGTAACAGGGGATCATCTGAGGGAATGAAATGGCCTTTATAAGCTACAAGGTCTTCAACATTGAAAGTATGGTGGTAACCAATGTGGGATGGAATGTCGACAATATATGCATTTGGACCAATTTGCTTTAAAATTTTAAAAGGACCAGCACTACGAGCTTGCAATTTGGAGGCGGGTCCATGTAGACGCCGCTCTGGCCTAATGCGAACCATAACGTAATCCCCAACATTAAACTCAATATGTCGTTTATGTAAATCAGCTTGTAGTTTATAATTTGCATTACTAGCTTCAAGTTGTTTATTGATCTCAATGTGCAAATCACGAAGGTGCTGTGCAAATGCTTCGGCTGATACTGACACTCTAGCCTGTGGGGACACAGGGATGAGATCTAATGGTTTCCTAGGCTTGTATCCGTGAACGGCTTCAAATGGACTCATACCTAATGAACGATTTACGGAGCTATTATACGCGATTTGAGCGACAGGAAGGATTAAATCCCAATT